GATCTACATAAATGCGTCTATGTTCGCGTGAATCATTCATGATCCAGCCTCATCTACAGAAGAAGTGAGTATAATGTTTTGTAATGAATCTTTGCAAATCGCCTTTCCTAATAAAGTGCTAATTAGCAAGTTTCACGATGAATGCAGCTAAAGTAAACAGTCTCTCTGAGAGCGACTCGGAAGAGAGGGGCGGGGTCAGCAGAGCTCATTAACATTTAAAGGAAAATGCTACAAAAACGGCTTGATCTGAAAAGAGCTGGTTTTGACAGGGTAAAAAGATGTTTACACTACCATTGAGAATTTTTAACCAAACTATGTTACAGACTTTTCATCAAGACCCTAAAGAATCATATCAACTTGTGGAAAATGGGCATCCTATGACCCCTTTAAGAAAGCTTTTAGAATAACTGAGTGTAACTTGACTTGTTCTATGTTATTTGCTAGTTATAAGGCTTTTAATATTCATCTTTGCAATGACCTTCAACCCTGTGATGTTCAACACACTGAAACTGAATGACATACACAACCACTCAAACGTGTGCGGTCAGTAAGATTTTTTCAATGTTGTCTCTTACAATGCATTTATTTGATTAAAAATACAGTAAAAAAATAAACAGTAACATTATGAAATATCATTACAATTTAAAATAACTGATTTCTATTTTAATACATTTTAAAATATAATTTATTCCTGTGATGCAAAGCTGAATTTTCAGCATCATTACTCCAGTCTTCAGTGTCACATGATCCTTCAGAAATCATTCTAATATGCTGATTTGCTGCTCAAGAAACATTTTTTGATTTTTAATATTGAAAACAGTTGTGCTGCTTCATATTTTTATGGAAAACATTAAACAATTTTTTTTTTTTTTTCTTTGACAAACAATTTTTTTGTTGCTAAAAGAGACAAACTGCTGGTTCTTTTTTTACATTTTCAATTTATTTCATTAATAATTTTGGTGATGCATATAATAGTGCCTGCCATATATATGTGAAACTAGCATTTAAATCAAGAAGGCGTATATTCTTCTCCTGTATGCAGATCTTTGAATTGCTGATATAAAAAAGTTACAAAATTAAAACTGAGCATTAGACTGGAGTCAGAAGACATTCGACATCATAACATTTATTTTTTTCCCCAGAGGGTTCTGTCATCCTTAATATTTCATATATTGTTTTGTGTTATTTGCTGGACCGTCACATCAATATGACAAATTCAGTTTATTCACGAACAACCCCAAAGACACTGAGACAATCAAATAAAAGCATGAGCCCCCAATTCCCCACATCTTAAAATCTACTGCCTGAGCAAAGACGGCACGTGTTTGGAACACAGCAGCCACAATATGATAAAAGAGAAACATACAGCTAAAACTCAGCTCTCTATGGGGTGGCCAGCAAACAGTCCTCAGAACCTGCTGTGGATTACTATACAAAACAATGAGAAACGCAACCAAACATAACACAAACAGGTCTGGAAATCTACTCAGATACTCTTACTTCCTGTTGGTCATTTATAATCACTCATTAGTTTAGAGAATGAAACCAATTATAAATGCAGTATTTTCCAACCTACTCTTGGCTTATTTCTATTCTTGGCTTATTTGTTTTATACACTGAATGGTGGATGTTTCGTAACATCTCTCACATGTTTGACACAGAAGACTATCTTGAAGTTAAGAGCAGAAGCGTGCATGTTCTGTTCCTATAGAAGTGCCCTGAACATTATTGCTCAAACTGGCTTGATTCTCTACTGAAACATTGTTCCTCTTCAGTGTAATATTGAGTAAGCGTGGATAGTTTGCTCAACAAGTGTTTTCCTTTCAGACTTACAAACATAGATATGAGCACACTCTCTCTCACGACTAAAAACCCCTATTTTACTGTTGAATGAGTAAAAATGTAGATATCGATACATGAAGGCATAGCACTGCCGACAACAAACAGACACCTTAATTTCCCAGAATTTGTTTTTTTTTTGCTGTGGATGTTTAGCTTTCTTTATCCAGAATGTTCTTCACATCCGCAAACACCTGAAAAAAAAACACAGGTAAAAGGAAGCAATATGAAACTCAAAAAGATGGACAGATGTTTATTATTTACCTCTACTGCACTATGGCACGGTAAAGAGCAGTGTTATTTTCGTATTATTTCTATATTATTATTATTGTATTTAATAATACATCAATATTAGGGCCGGGTTTTGACGTTTCATGATTCGATTTGATTTTGAGTCACAAACTTGCGATTCGATTCTGATTTAATATAGATTATTTTGGATATATATCAGGTAAAGTACATGGCAAATGTTCTCAAGGAAAAAAATCTCAACTAATGTCGTAAAATATACACGAGACGAGAGTAGGGCTGTCACGATTCCTCGATTAAATTTGAGTACTCGAATATTTAAAAAAAAATCCTTGATGGCATTTTGCTCGTGTCGATTAACTGGCAAAATACCAAAAGTGGCGCATTCCACAGACGAGAATCCGTGAGAAGCATTATTCGACCATTTTCTAAGGCTGCACAAAATATTAAAACCATTTAAAAATTGTAAAGCATAGTGCTATTGTGAATTCACAAAGGCTGCGATTCAATTAAATTAATATATGCGCTGCCGGTTTAATATGCGTTTTATAAAAGTTTAAACCCTCGCTCTGAGATTGCATGTTTTGATGTCTACATGTGCTTGTTCAAGAAATTTCAGTGGCTGTAGTATTTCTAAAGAATCATAAATTTGACATTTGAATTAAATATTAAACAAGTATTAGATCGTGCTGTAAAGTGTAAAAACAATCATCAGGCTGTTGGCGCCCTCTGCAGGCATTTGATATAATACATAATGTACATAAGTTATGATTATATTGTTTTATTACATGATGTAAATATTAACTGTTTTGTTCAGTAAAACCATATGATTACTTGCTTTTGATATTTTATGTTTACTTGCTTTTGATATTTTGCTTTTGAGAAAAATAAATCGTGATAACGAGAAAGCAACGCAACTTTCGTTATGTCGAGATCACGAGAAAATATTAAGTCGTGATAACGAGAAAACTACTTTCATTATGTCGAGATCACGAGAAAATTAAGTCGTGATAACGAGAAAGCAACTTTTGTTATGTCGAGATCACAAGATAATTAGGTCATCACGACAAAACAAGAAAAAAAAAATTAGAATCTATGGCCTCTTAGAACTTCCGTAAAAACTTGACTGATTTATTTAAACAAATTAAATATTGAAGAACAGTAAAAAATTATAATGAATATGTTATATGGTGCATATATTTAGCAAAATGCTCCTCTCTAAAGTTCATTTTTCTAGCTGACTAATGAGTTTATGGTCACCGAATGTGTTTTTTTCTGAGGTAAATGTCATGTTAAGTGACATTGTTTACACTCTTTTAACTATTAAAGCGGAGGAGATGATCAGTTCTCACGTACTTCTCTTGAACTGAGGCGCTACAGCGATCTGTCACTCCACATTAAACAGCGCAAAAACTGTATTTATAAGTTTAATATTGTAATAAATTGGACAGAATTTGAAATCTTAGACTTTGTTTCATATCAAATGTAACAAAGCACAAAACTTATTGCAATTGATTGGATGGGAGGCTACAATGTTCCGTTCATTAACTGAAAACAAGCTAGACTAATCGGGACTAATTGGATGTAAGAATAGATATTTTGTAAAAATGAGAATAGATTAAAATCGAGAAATCAACATTTTTTACTTGGCCCTAATCAATATATTGTTAATATGGTATTAAATACTAAAAAAACAACAACAACAAAAACCACAGAAACTAATTCAAATAAGCCTTTATTTTCAGTTTTCATTTCATTATTTTTTATGTCATGTGCTTTTGTGATTTCAGTTTTAGTTTTAATAATTTAGTATAACACTTCTAATTTTCCTTTGGTTTTTTTAAGCTTAAGTGTTTCGTCTAATATTTATATGCACAATAGAATAACAGCATTTTTTGTATAGCAACATATAGAGACTATATATTCTAGTAAAGTATACATCTTCTTAATGAGTATGATTAATAAAATAATATTGGGATTTTCATGAAAATTGTGTCCTTAAAATGAATAGTTGAAAATGAAAATTTGCTGAAAATGTACTCACCCTCAGGCCATCCAAGATGTAGATGAGTTTGTTTCTCCATCATAACAGATTTGGAGAAATGTAGCATTACATCACTTGCTCGCCAGTGGATCCTCTGCAGTGAATGGGTGCCGTCAGAATGAGAGTCCAAACAGCTGATAAAAACATCACAATAATCCACATCACTCCAGTCCATCAATTAATGTCTTGAGAAGCGAAAAGCTGCATGTTTGTAAGAAAATTCATCATTAAGGCATTTTTAACTTAATACAGTTTCTTCTGACTAAAATGGTGGATTTTGATGTGAGAGGGATGGACTTTTTCACTGGAGGAAGCATTATTATGGATTATGGACTTGTATTTTGGCCAGAAGCAACAGATTAAAATTAAAATGTACTAATGATGGATTTGTTTCTTACAAACATGCAATGTTTCACTTAAAAAAAAAACGTTAAGTGATGGACTGGAGTGGTGTGGATTATTGTGATGTTTTTTTCAGCTGTTTGAACTCTCATTCTAACGGCACCCATTCACTGCAGAGGATCCATCGTTGAGCAAGTGATGCAATACTACATTTCAGATCTGTTCCAATGAAGAAACAAACTCATCTACATCTTGGATGGCCAGAGTAAATTTTCAGCAGATTTTTGTTTTCAGGTGAACTATTCCTGTTCCTACTATTTTTTATTAATATGCATAAGTCGTGATAACGAGAAAACAACTTTCGCTATGTCAAGATCACGAGAAAATTAAGTCGTGATAACGAAGCATTTCAAAGCATTTTTGATAGCCTTTCAAAAACTATCAATTAATAAAGCATAATAAAATTAAGTTCTATTTGATTTACCTTTAATACAAAACTTTACAAAAAGCATCAGGCTTAAAAAAAATACATTTAATGAAATAAGCTAACCAGTCGTACCTCATCCATTGATCGGGAGGCATCAATCGTGCACACCTTCCCCTGCTTCTCGTACTGCTCTATAATGGGCCGTGTGGACTGGAGGTACGTCTGGATCCTGAAAATTAAAGTTAAGGCGAATCAAAAGCACAACCAAAGTCACTGTAAACATGACTGTGAGAGTCCATCCTTTTCCGTATAGGTCTGCTAACATACAGTAATCATATTACATGCTTTGTATGCAGCGCAATATATCTGATACAGTTATAATGGGGAGATCTACCTTTTCTCTAGACTTTCTCTGTTATCATCAGTGCGTCCGCTGCTCTTGCCCCGCTCTAAACATCTGTCAATGCACACCTGAAAAACACAACAGCTGAAAATCACATTTTATGTAGACAGTATAAATTGTGAATGTGATCTCTTTGGTGTTTATGATTGATCAATAGTTTTTTTTGTTACACATTTTTTTTTGTACATTATTAATAAAAATCAGTTTAAAATAATTTTCTTATGATGGTAATTTAAAAACTTTTTACTAAATGTTATTTACTAGGTGTTTCGATTCTATATGCATGTGTATGGAACCACTGCACCTATGGAACTTAATTGGAAACTTAGTTTTTTATATTGTTACTTTCGATAAGAAACAAAGTCTCATCTTTCAAATTCTGACCATTTTTTTCCAGGAAATTGAAATAATAAATCTCGCTCACTGTATAGGCACCTCAGTTCAAGCCACAGTGTGGAGCGCGATTGAACGCAATCTCCCCTTTCTCTTTACTACTAGTTATAGCATGAAATAAACATGAATGAACATCTCATGTCTCATGTAATCACTCAACCAGTGTTTCAACTGCAGAAATACAACAATAAAACAGCTTGTAAACAAAATGTCACACAGCATTACATACCTCAGGCCAGTCATTTAGTGTCCACAGCTTGATTGTTTGCTAGAGAAATTAACTCTGGAGAAAAGCATATCACTAAATAAGCCTATATATTAATTATATTTTACTTAACCTATTAGTGATGTCATAATTATTAAGTTATGACAGTCACCGTGCAACTGATTATTTCAACATCAAATAGACTGCCTTATGTGCAATTTATGTGTTTGCATACAATTTGTGTATTTAATTATTATACATAAATATAAATAACAATTGAATTTAATAGTTTGGACTCTGTTGTTCATTGTAATCTTTAATATTAATGTGCAAGTAATAGGGCTCCCTATAGTTTACAGCATTAGCTGAGGTCGATTTTCATCCTTAAGAAATTTATTATAATTGAATTTATTTAAAATCAGAGCAACAATTTGTTCAGTAAACCACTCTTTAATAAAAACAAAAAAAGAATACACCATTTTGTTTATTTTTTCCTCCCTGCTGTACCGAACAGTGACATCAAAACCAAGACACGTACCGAACCATTGTGTTTGTGTACCATTACACCTCTATTATTTACAAATACAAATTTCCAAAAATTATTTTATTTTTCATTCCAAATGATACATCAAACATCAGATGCCACTTTAATCAACTGTAATGGTAGTGCAATAAATCAAAAACACTCTTAAAACATATGCTGCCCCTCACCTCATTGCCGCAGTCAAAGAAAAGAACAAACTTGACATCTGCCTTTCCGTCCATGACAGTGTTCCATCCCTGCAGGTTGTCTTGGTTACGTGGGAAACCATCGATAAGAAAGCGGAACTTCTTTTCATCCGCTTTCATGGTCTCTTCCATTGCCTGATAAATACAGATGTTTTTTTTGTTCCAGTAAAGATAAATATCAGAATACATCCATTTTTAGATAAGATAAATGACTGCTCTGCTCAGAAAAGGCCGGTCAATCAGAATTACAACTTGACTGTAAAGAGGCTTGTCAGTTTTATAATGGTATCGGATTTATGCCTATTATGAGACAAGCCTGTCCATTTATGGCTATTATGAGCCGCTCTTTGAACTCTCCTCCCCTGAATCTGCTCACATTTGTTATCAAGTAAAATTTCTCTATCTGTTTGAAAATGTTGCCTGCTCATGTTCCAGTTTCCTTCTACAGTCACCATGAGTCACGACCTGGAATGCTTTGGCTTGTTAAGCAGGAAGGACGAGTGTAACCACCTTTTTCAGCAAGTTGATGGTGATTTCAACAGGAACTATCTTGCCCTCTTTGATGTAGGTGTCAATGAGCTGACCAAACTCAGAGCCGCTGCGGCTGCGCTCCTCTCTCAGCAGGTCTCCGGCAGACAGGTGAGTGTAGCTGTAGTTCTGAGCGCAGGAGAGAGACAGTTAAACAAAAACATCACATATTACGAACTGCAATGCAGCACGTTATAGTCCCGTAAGATTATAAGCTCCTTATTATGGAATATGACAGTTGTCATTTATATGAATGGAAAGAAAAAAAGAGAGGCGTGTATGGGTTTGGTAATTGAAGAGGCAGCTTTGTAGCAAAGGCCGTCCAGACACTACTTTTGACATATCTAATGGTTTTTAAGATCATGAAACACAAATTCAGTCAAGTGTGGCTGCTAGAGTATGTGTGGCCATCATGAGCACACAAAAGACTCATTTTACAACCTTGTTCAGATGCCATATGGCTAATAAAGAAGGTTTTTTCTAACACTCTTAAGTACGGACTAAACAGCTTTACAAAATGAGAACAGAGATTGGATCAAATTATAAGATATGAGTAGCTGACATGAAATGCTGTGGCAGTTAATGCAAATATACACTTTCCCATATACAGTGGTGTGAAAAAGTGTTGGCCCCCTTCCTGATTTCTTATTTTTTTGCAAGCCTTTTTTTTACTCCCTAATATCAGCATCGGTATCGGCCCCAAAAAACCCATATCGGTCGGGCTCTACTGTACACACATATGTGGGTCAGAGACAAGATGTCGCATTTTGTTGTCTGCATCAAATTATACAGTATTTACAAAAGTGATTTTATATACACAGAAAGCATATTAAATGCAAGTATATACTGCAAGTGTTTCAAATAACTTTTGTCAAAATAAAAATGTCAAAATATGGGTGAAATAATGTTCCATCACCATTCAGTGTAACAGATATAATTATGTAAAAATGAAACAACATACTTATTCTGACCAGTGCTTACTAAAATATATAAAAGAAAAGTGATCATACTAAATTTTATTTGATTTTAAATTAAAACTTCTTGCTGTGAATGAAGGATAGTGGCCTAGATTGGTAAAGAGTTAAAATCATGATTAATTAGTATTTTAATTTGTAAATAATTAGTAACTATTTTTAAATAGTCTTTTAATGTCATCTACATATTCTTGTGATATTTTAGTGGGTGTCGTCTGTAAATCATAGTAAGAACGTATTTAAAGTCATTATTTTTAGCTCAGAAAAAAATACAGTTAAACAGGACACATTCTAAAGCATTACAAAAACTACATTTAAAGCTGTACTGAACAGTAATATTGTGAAATATTATTAAAGTTTACATTTTATTTATTCCTGTGGATTTTCTGCAGCCATTATGTCAGTATTCAATGCCTTCAGTGTCTTTAAATGAATGCTTCAGAAATTACTCAATATTACGGTTTATACTGTATTATCATGTATAGTCATATCAGTTTTACGTTTCACACATATGCCCTTCTACCCAGTGCTGGTGCCTAGACTTGTGCCGGTATTCGGTAATGCGATATATCACGGTAATGACTATGCACGATATTGTTATCGTGGGCACTTCTAAATACCGTGAATAATTATATATTACAAATTATTCCGAATTTTGAATGCATTTTAAGAATACTTTTCCCATCAACTGGTCAAAATGCACAACACCGCTGTATGCTGCGTGAAAGACGCGTGCGCACTCTGATGTAAATAAGCGCGGACGAGAAGCATATGGCGGAACATGCGAGAGACGCGCTGGATGAAAGCGCACTTTCACTCTCTGACAGCAGATGGTGCTAAACTGCAGAAATAATAATAATAATAATAATTCATTTAATTAACATGAAAATTTTATACCGGCATATCCCTACGTGGTGGAGAGCAGGGTGGGACCTGACTGAACACAGGTCCTGTTCATAACCAGAATACATGAATATGAATGCGTTAACACTCCAGGGAACTCAATGTATATTTACATTTTGAGAAAATGATCAAATTCCCATCAAATTTATCATACTAACATGTCAGATGAAACATAGTGTCGCTGTTAAAGGGACCAAATGGCATTTCCTTATGAAACGTCTAGAGGAAACGCGGAAATGAACGGTCCTTGCAACTTAAGCTGCAGCAAATCTGAATCCATTACCACTCTACCAGCCCCATGAAGCCTCGTTGTCTGAAACACAACGCTTAAATGGCTATTCTCCCTCAATATGATAAAAGACTTAATGCTGCATCTCTCTTACCGCCACGATTCTCGCGCATTGTGTCCCTTTCCCCGCGCCAGGCCCGCCCAAAACAAACAGGACCTGCGGCTTCATCATCACACTCCACCCGTGCACAGCGCGTGGAAGCTTCTTCAGCCTGTGCAGCAAAGCCACAATCATAAACCGTACGGATAAGAGAGAGCTGCACTCAATGTTTGACCATCGACCCCTGGGAGTCCGGTACAGAGCTGGTTGAATGACCGGCTGATGCGTGTCAAGGAAGTGCGGCGGGCAGATTCCACTTCCGCCGTACACGTGTCCGACCAATCAGAGAGCAGAGGATTTACGGACGTCACTTAAACGACGCCCTTAGCTCTGAACGCTCTCTAGAACAACATTGTGTGCATCTTATAATATTGGTTATTTCCTATAATGTACAGTTGACTGAATGCTCTGTGACCTTTTGCCTGGTTGTTAAAAAGTGCCTTTTGAGGCACCTGTACTTTATATAATGTAATTTATATTGCCCCTGGCCCTGTATGTTTTTTTTGTACTTTATTTCTTGTTGTTTTGTGATTTTGCTGTTACTAGGGTTGTATATTTTTGTATACTTCTTGATAATCCTAATAAAAAAATAAATAAAATAAAAAAACGCTCTCTAGAAGGCGCACCCCTCCTGCGCCCTTTCGCGCACCAGCATCAGCACCCGTGTTGCCATGTCCGCTTATTAAAAGCGACGTCGTTTTTTTTTTGTTTTTTTTTTAAATATATATATATATATATAAATATAGAGAAAAAATGCCTTTAGTTTTATTATTTAAAATAATAAAACTAAAATAACATTAGAACATAATACAAAATTATAATTTTTCTCTCTACTTCTCTGTGCTCTTCCCTCCTGCTGTTGCTCCAAACCGACTTGATGTTAAAACATTACAATGAAGTGGATAGGTTTGCTCATACAAATGAATATTTGAATTAAGATCCAGCTTTCTAGATATAGACTCTTTAGGTTCCATATATACAAGCTGCTAGGCGCTGTGATGGGTTACCCACTAGCTTATATATATATATATATATATATATATATATAAAGTTGCTTATAATTTGAATACGAGCATTCCCACATTTTGGCATAATGTTTAGAATATATTACCATAATTTAGGTTTGCTGATGCTTGACCTTCATTATAGCACAAAGTATGACTAACCATTCAGTATTTCTGCATTTTCTAAGGAAAAAGGGTCTTTACATGTAATTTTCACAACACAGCTTTTTTGTTCTACTGAACTTATTTTTCGTAAAGACATATCATCAGCTGAACACTTGGTATTTTGTTAAACAACAGCACAATCTATTGAAGACACTGCACTTTTACCCTTCACGGCCTCGTTTTCATTCCTGTAAAATAATAATAATAAATATGGCTACCCTGATATGGACCCTTTTCACAAGACTGAGACGTTTCAACGGTCATCAGAATCGTAATCCTCCAAAGTTTTTTGTATTTTAATTTTGTTTTAAAAATGCATGTACATTTATAACACTATATATTGTATTACCTTTGCATCAAATTACAAAAAAACTAAAACTAGTTAACGCTAACGCGAGGGTGTTTCTAATACAGCGTCTTTTGGAGTTATGGTAAATTTGACATCGTTCTTTCTACTGACTGATTCCTTTTTGGGGTTTTTTAAGTCATGAAAACACTATAGTGGAGTTTTTCTTTTGCTGTTTGAGCAAATGGGAATGCAAAAAATATATCTGTAGTAGTCTCCCATTCACTGCTACAGAAGTTTACCCAACTATGACGACTTCTGCTGCTGAGAAACCCGGAAATGTGAAAAAGCTCAACTTCTAACCAGTTAAACATAATTTAACCTGTTCAACTTTGAAAATGTTTATTATTACGTATTTTGAAGGAACAGTTTTCTCAGTATTATGTTAAGGTACATATAATCCTAATACTAAATAGTGTATCCATACGCACGACAGAGATCATTTTTCACTTATTTAGATTTTATTTATTCGTTTACAAAATAATAAGTTGCAATTTAGCATTGCTTGATCTAGCTTTTATGTAAACACGACCAGGTTGCTTTTTTTTTTTCTCGCGCGATCTGGCAACACTGATCAGCACCTCACTGCAACTGAACAGCGACCATATAAGCACATGTCTGCGTTAAGATGCTCTGCTGTTTTTCATTGGAGGGATATATTTAAAAATCACTGCGCTATATAATGGTGCAGGGGGATTGCATGCGCGGTGTTTTTATTATTATTACTATCACCATCTTTGTGTTCTCCATAGATTTGCACAGGGTGTCTTCGCTATGGATGTAAGGGATGGAAACGCACAAAGGAAAAACACACAATTAGTCCAGTGATGCCCATGACAGGAATTTCGTTTTTAAACGTAGCACAACCGACCCAAGGTTGCACTGTAAATCAGATGCACTGAATCCTTCCTCGGTTGGCTCCGTCTGTGTGTCGCTTCCCCCTTTTCAAAAGGAGCCGCATCAACAAAATGTTGGGTAGGTCGTTCACCTGGAGGAAATATAACCAGCATACACTCTCTATGCAGCACCGGCTCCCTCTTCAGCACTGACATGCCCGAGTCCAGCAGAAAAACCAGGATCAAAGGGCTCAGAGCTACAGCCGGACGCGTGAATTGGAAGGAGGACGGGAAACAGGTGCACACCGGGTGTCCGATTCGGTGGAGGCCGGATCACATCTGCTCGGGACGAGCATCAAGGGCAGTGCGGCACTCCAGCACTTCAGGAACAGGCGACACGGATCATCCACACACCCTTATTTCCACAACACCGCTGTGTTCCCGTTACACTTCTTCGCCTGTCTAAAAAAGACGTGCTAGAACAACACACGGGCGCTCTGAAATGCAACAAAACATGTTTGTCTAGCAGACATGCTTTTAATTGCTTTCACCCAGAGGATTTATCGAGAATATATTGAGTTGGAAATGAAGAGGAGGATCTGTCAGCGTTTCAAGGGATGTAAAAAGTGCCAATGAATATATTGCTTAAATATATCCTCTTTTTTCTGTCATTGGCCACATTGACACCCCTAATAAGCAGGACCATGGGTTGCATTCAGAGCATCGCCTGCAAGCCCCGCATCCGACGGGAGAACATAGTGGTCTATGAGGTCTCAGCCTCCATTGACCAATGCCCGACCATCATTGAGGAGAATTCGCCCATTGTCCTGCGATACAAGACCCCGTACTTCAGAGCATCGGCCGGGATCGTGATGCCCCCGGTTCCCAGAAACGAAAGATGGACTGTGGGCTGGATTCAGGCGTGCACCCAAATGGAGTTCTTCAATACATATGGTGATATTGGCATGTGAGTAATCAATAAACCAAACAAACAATGACAAGCTCAAGTTTCATTTTGTCTAACATGATATAGATAGTAAACTGAAACAAAATGTTGGAGGTTTTCATTTTTATTGGTCGTTCTGTTGGGTTTGTGGTCATCTGTTGTCGACAAATAAGTGAGTATCGGGTTGTGCGGTTTGACATCTCTATATCTTTGTAGAATCTGTTCTTTATTGCAGGGTTGTGTGCCATTCAGAATTTAACTTAGAATGCTTTCAAAACTCCAGTTGAATTCCTGCATTTAATTGCAGCCAAGCAGGATGCAGAACTGCAATTCAAATGTGAATGTAAAGAAGTAGACTGAAGTGTAATTCAAAGAAATTCATACAATCAAACTGTATTTTTATATTGAAAAATAAACTTTAAATGTTGCACTGTAACAAATTGCTGTAAAAATTACAGCAGTCAGCTGTCTTTCTAATAATACAGCAAATTGCTGTAAACAGCGAGGCCTTCTGGGATCACGTGATCTACAGAGGCATTGTGGGATCTTCAACGGTCGAGAACGAGTGGCAACTGTGGTAAGTGACTTATTATTTCAGTTTTTTTATTTTTCATGTTTGGCAACTGTAGTAGTGTATCTACATTCGCTGTTTATATTGGTAACCCCGGATTCACGCATCCTCCATCCGCGGGGCGTGAAGAAGACTTGCGCGGGGTTTCAGCAGCGCGGTCGCGGTAGAATTTCACACAGTCCCCGGCACTGGGCAGTTAAGAATTACATGCTTCAATGACAACAGTGATTCATGGTAACTTTGTGATGATCAGCACACTTTGTTGTGAATATTTTATGGTGTAAATCAAATTTGCACAGGAGGTCATCTGTTAACACAGTGCCCAAATGAAAACGGCGCTAAATAGTAAATTCTGAATGGTGCTGTTAAAGCGGTTAACGTAACCAGCGAAAGGTGTATTTGAGGACCTTTTCTAACTTGCTAATTGTTTGTTTGTAAGGCCTCTTGTTAACTTTGGTTTAAAAACTGAGTTAATCCAGCCAAGCTTTGTCTGGCCTTGCCACTCTGTTCGTAGCACATTACATATTCAATCTGGAGTACCAGGAGGAGACAGCCAGTACCTTGAGTTCATTCAAAGGTTGTGGTTAAATTCTAACCATTTCAGTACCTGCATTTTACATATATCAGATGCCATTAACACAATGTTTCTCAAAAAATTTTAGGGTGAATAATTTCCCTATTTAACACTGGCAAGCTAATGAGTTAAAACAGGTTTTTTAATTAGCGGGACATGAAATTTTTTTTGGGAAGTGGTGGGTCGTTGCTCTAACATGATCCAATTTCAAAAACATGATTACATACCTCAAAAGCTAAAACTAATGTGAATTAAATATTGTCTGTTTCCTGACCCTTTAGGCGCTTTGTAGGTATTAATCCAGAGAGAGGAACAAAGTGAAAGGAAAAGTGCCATTGAAACAGGTTGAAGTGAACCAACATGTTGCCACTCTTTTTTGCAAAGTAAAGGATTTTCAGTTTCTGAAATGTAAGAAGTACTCATACACATACACCAAGATCTCTTTTTCCTTTTATTATATCCTTTTATTACTCTCTATCTGTATCTAACTATCTTTCATCCCTCTATTTGACTGTATCATTATGTTTTGTAATATATTATCCTCTTTGTTCTTTCCAATATTTCTAGTCAGTCTTTGCATCTTGGGATGGAACAGTATATGGAGCTGAACCGTTCTCCTTTTTTTGATCCGAACTTTTGTTGGACTCACTTGTTGTTTGGCCATGTTGGACTGTCCACGAAGTGGTGAAAATTCATCAACCGTTTTATTATGATCATGTTATTTAACTCAAATTCAAAATAATTCTAAACACAATGTTTTATGACATTTCTTTCATGCAAATTGACAGCTATATATTGAATAAATTTTGACCTGTTTTTCAAAAT